CGGCCCCGGGATTGGCCGTCCCTTCCCCGCCGGCGGTATATGGTTTGGGAAACGTCCCTCGCATGGTTGATTCTCGAGGGGCTACCGTCATCCCGCAGCTAATGAGCTCAGCCGACGGTACACCATTAGCGACGCTTCCTTACCTAATGAGCATAACAAACACCCCTTCGAGCTCGAACGGCGGCGCTCAACCGGGTCTAGATTTGAATTTTGGTTTGATGGAGCCGGGAACTACTGAGTTGGGTAATCTGGAACAGATTAACTCCGGAAATTCAATAAAAAGGAAGGAACCAGAGTCTGGATGGGACTCTTACAACATTGGCTACAAACATTTGGCTTCATGGCACCGATGATTCTGAACTTTCTCAGTTCATTATAACATTAACTTCACTGCTTATTTTTCAGGGCTGCTCAACCTAAAGAAGCTCTTCACCTGACTATCGGTTTTCTGTTTAATATGACTGGCTCCCTTCGTAAACATTGATTGACGGGGCGAGTCGATCGATTCGTCTTCTTTCTTGTCGCCACTTTCTTCCAGGTATAAAAATTGAATAAGGCTCATTATATATGTACTTGTTTAGTATGATTGATTATTAAATCATATATCTATATATATATTCTTGTTCTTTTGTTATGGTGACCGGTCTTGCGAGTTGAAGGAGGGGATGGGATCTTCTATTTGTACATTTATCTTAAAATTTAGAGATGGTTCGGGGTGCCATCTTTGTCATGCAGTTTTTGAAATTACATACAAATCCACCTGAAACTTGCTATTTGCGAATCAACCAATCTCTGTCATGCAGTTTTCAAATTCTAACTCAAATATCAAAGTTCGCGGTTTTACCACAATACTTATCTTTCATTTTTATCAAATTGTCAGTAGTTTGATCGTGCTCGAGTAAATACACTGGTTCGGTAGTTAAAAAAGGTCATCTGGATGCTTAATTTGTAAATATGAATGTTTGGGTTGGTTTTTTATGTAATTTATCCCTTTCTTTGATGAGTCATTATGTGTTTATTTCTGAAAGATTACAATAAACATTGCTAAATTTGCTAATCTTGAGATTGTGGTGGTGCTTTTTAGTTGTGAAAGAAGTTAGCTTAGGGTTAGTGTAGCCTGATACGATTTTGTATGATTTGGATACATGCCACTTAATTCCTGTTTATTTCCATATCCGGCACGTTCATTTCAGTTTTTACATCTATGCCATCTTGACTGTTGTATTATTGAAATATTTAGTTGTTATGAATGTCAATAATGTGTTTTAAATTTGTTGAATCCAAAATTATTTGGGAAACACATCTTATGAATAGAAAGTTTTGTTAAGAAGTGATTATAGAGAGATAAGATAGTAGGGAACGATAAAAGAGAGTATAGCCTTTATTAATGATATGAAATTCCTATTTATAGGCGGAAGTCTATTATTACAAAAGTATGTATTGGTCCCATCATTGATTTTTTAGGGAAATTTTTTGATGGTTACAGAGTTATTAGTTTGTAATAAGATTGGGGACCGATTTGATCGATGATAATTTGTCGATTGTCAGGTGAGTCTTGACTTATCGATATCTAATTTGAACGAGAGCCTCCTATTGAACATCTTGAGGGTTAATCTCGGTCATGCGAAAAATCTTCTGGCACGTTCCGTCGATTACTCGAACAAGATGTCTTCCTTGCCAACATACAATTTAAAATGGTCGTTAACAGATATGCCCAATCATAAGAATCATTCTCTTGAGTCATTCATCTGTCTTAATATTCGTGCTGACATATTTTATACGTACAAATTTGAAGTTCTAAACATTTTTTTTTACTTGAATCTCATAAATATTATGCAAAAAGATTTTTTTCCTGGACTCAATTCTTTGTATATATGTTTAGGTGCGTAAATGAGTTAGAGTTTGAGGGAGCTAAATGCGTTTTGTTTAGATCATTTATTATTTTTTTTTTGTTTGAAATTGCTCGAGAACATTATGTTTGTGTTTGGCTCGATAAGGTGTTAGTGTTCGGTTTTAATTAACTCTTTAAATTAGTTAGAATGAAAAATAGATGCAGCGTATTGGATTCAAATATATATATTCTTACATAATAAAAGAAGCCAAATCAAATGATCACACAAGTTATGGTAATTAAAAGTTATGTATAAATATATTTTATTCGAGCAACAGCAAGAACAAAATTTTAATTTGGCCTTGATTTTGTTTTTTCGTGTTGGGCTCATTCAAAGAACGGACTAAACATAAGCTATTTGTGAACGAGTCTATCATATATATATATAT